ATATATTATAGTAATAATACTGTTATTATAATAATGTTATTAGCCGTAATAATAATTTTTAAGTGACGAGTGCCTAGTAAAGTTTTTTTCTTCAAATTTATACTGACATATTTTAAAATTTCATTAAAAATTCCGTTAAAAAGTAATTAACCAATAGCCAAGTTATATTTATTTTATAGAAGTCGTTGATCATATTTAAATAATTATTAGTAAATGGCAACTTAATTAATATATTTGTAATAAATTTATAGATAATACTATATGGATTTGTAAAACATAAATTATGGATTTCTAAATTCATGTTTCGTCATGGCTACGATATTGTTAATTACTTTGGCTTATAGTCTTAGGGCATTTTGTCCCAAATTAAAATATATTAAAACGAGAAAAAAAGAAATAACTTGTGAATATTTCATTTTTTGCTAAAGTGTCCAATGGGATGTCATTTGATATTAAAATATTTGGTGTCGTAAATTTTTTCTTCGAGCCACTAGTATATTCAGTTTTATATATTAAATAAATTCTGCATTTATGCTAAAATATATCGATTTTTTATATAAAGTTACATAATTTTCTTGCCTGCTATTGCACTAAAAATTGCCTAAAATCATTAAATATGGAAATTTAAAGCTGGTTGAGATTTTAAAAAGAACTGTCTATTCAAATAATGGACAAGTGCCTGATACTTTGATAGATAGTTGTACGATGAGATATATACGCATATATTGGATAATTTAATGCGAAATGATGAACCGAGCAGAATTCTGCAAAAATCAATAGAAATATCTATATTACTGTCTCAAGTCAAAATTTTAATTAAATTTCCAAGAGCAGAAACCTTTTATTATTTCTGCGTACATACATTTTCATGATAAATATATATTTACCGTTAATTGGTATACAAGTTAAAAGTATTCAAACAAATTTAAGAATTGTTAATTGGTTCCAAAAACATTATATTTTCATTTAAAATTCACAGAAATGGTTATTTTCAAAAACCGTGCCGACAATTACTTGAATTCTTTTATACTCCACTTATTAATTAATAAAAGCTATCTTAGCTTTTTAATGCTAATGTACGAACGATGATTTTTCAAAGAGAAAAAAATATATATATGCACAGTTGCAATGGATCACGCAGAGAGGGAGTCTTGTGTACACATTTGACTATTTTTCACTTGCAAGCACAGAACCTATTTATTTTCTCCACTAAAGTATTTTTTCCATAATTTTCCGAACTAACAAAGATAATCGATTACTATAAAAACAGTCACCTTCGGAAAGTTTATTACCCCACGTAAGAATGCTAACGACGATACAAAAATCGTGCTATTTCCGCAACAACGTAACGTACACGTCGGTCTAAATTCTGACTAAATTATTAAAACGTTTACTCTTAACAAAGTAAAAATAAAATACAATAAACAAGCGAATGCAAATATTGATAATTGAGTTGACAATAATTTGGAACATGCGTGAGCCTTAAATTTCATGAAAACATTGATCAATTGATTCGAGCTTCAAAATAATCCCATCATTCTCCCATGCTTTCTAATCGATCTATTTACTTTGTTTGATTCAATTGATTACACAGATTACCCAAACCCACTTTTCCACATTCTTTCCCCCGTTACGCCTTGACATATTTACTAATTTACTAATCGCGCGCAAGCATTTTTTCACGCCCGATAAAAATCCGTCAATATTTCAAATATCCTCAATATTATCAAATTTACTAACTGCAAACTCTATCTTCCATTCTATTATTGTTTTTGTAATTCGCTGTCCAGTGCAAAAAGTAAAAAAAAAAAAAAAGAATAACATAAAAATAAAATAAAAATAACAAAAAAAGTAAAATAAAAATAACAGATCGCCTAGTAGTACCTAGAAGCCTCGCACTATCAAATTATTCTCGGCAGCGTACGGCGCGCACGACTCCCCAGCGGATTCGTGAGAATCTTAGGAACCGGTCGAAGGAAGGCCACGGCGGTGTCGGCGCTTTTATATTTTTGCTCCGTATTTCATTCTCCGTTCGCGTTACTGCGCTCCAGCGCATTTATCGAAACTCGTCGGATAGCGGTGGCGGTGGCGGTGGCGGTGGCGGTGGCGGTGACGGCGGTGGCAACGGCGGTGGCGTCGTCGTCGTCGTCGTCGTCGTCGTCGTCGCTGTCGATGAAGTTAGGTCGTGGACTTTCCTCGCGCCGCTTCCGCTTGTACGAGCGAGGCGACTTTTCTCGGCCGAGGCCGCAACCTTTACCCACATACAATATATACATACATACGGACGTGTTTACACTTTGATATACAAGAGAGACAGAAATTAAGTATGCGCGTGAGTAAGTGAGAAAGAATGGCAAAGGAGACGCGGCGCTGTGGAGAAATAGAGGGGCCAGGGAAGGAGAGGTCGTGTATGTATGTGATAACAAACGCAAGAATTGACACCTACGTGCTTCCCCCACCCCCACACTGCTTCACAATTTTCTTTCATCTTAACGCATGCTCGCCTTCATTGTAAATACTCGTACGAGCGAACGTATTTTTTATTTATTTATTATTTTTTTCCATAACGGATGCTCCCCTTATGCATATGTGTTGCGCTTTACGACAGGAGGACTTTGACCCTTTTGTGACTGATTTTATGAGCTATTTTATACTAATTTTTAACATGATTTAAACTAATCGATTGCACGACGTAATCTAGCGCGGAATTTGATTAGCGATTCAACTTATTTAAGATTATCTCAAATGAAGTAAAAAAATTTCTGATATGTATGAATTATTAACCGACCATATTACGGAATATTTTAAGTTTAACGTACTTAGGAATTCATGATGAAAGGCGCTTTGTCGAACCTTTCTTTCTTTTAATTGTTCGGAACGATTGTCTCAAATACGTTTAGAATGTGCCAAACGATTGGTTTCCTTAATGAACTTCTAAAAGAAATAAAACGGATCATAAATGGGAAATGAATCATTTGACGTCCCTTTCTCAAAACTCCCCCGACTTCCTTTATTTTATTACTCTATTTAACATTATAAATTTTTTATAACAATGGCATTGCAAGTGCAACTGTTATTCTATCTCATTCATTACACGTCACATAGAGCGATATCATCTTTATTCAAAATAAGTTTTTCAATGTCTTCTTGTAATCACAATTGATAATAATATTATCATTATATAAGGTGGAAAACGAAAGAAAAACAACCTTTAAAGGAATTATTGCATTGATTTATGTTACGACATTGCCTGAGATCGTACGAAGTTAAAATTATATTTGAACTTAACACATTTAAATCTAACTTTTTTTTCTTTTATAGATATTTATTAATTTTAAACGTCTGGTGATATATATCCAACTATATGTAAATATAAATATTGAGAAATTATGAAAATTCCATTATCTTTTTTTAGTACGTTCATTTTCAACATTCTGCTTAAAAATTTTCTTACAAATTAATGTTAATAATTGAAAAGGTTTGCCCCTTATTATCATCGTTAAAACGATGAATAATTTAATATCGTCTGAAGGAAATCGAAGCAATGTTATAACCACGTAAGATGAAGTAATGGTAAATTTTATTATTTAATTAAAGGTGATCTAAAAATAATTTTATTTAATTAACTTTGAACGTTTATCTCTAAAATATCTATTCTGAAATACATACAGCATTGGTAAAGTATAAATTTGAATACTGGCAAAAATTGTAAAAAGTACTACTGTAGTGTACTACTGTTGTAAAAAGAATCTGTAACATATCTCGAATAAATGTTTTGTTTTGTATGAAAAAAAAAGATAATAATAATAATAATAATAATAATAATAATGCCAAAGATAAAGGTGTAATATAATTTATGAAATTTGATTTAGTTCTATCAATGTTACAAAAAAAATTTGTAAAAATAATCGATAATTTGCAAATTGAATGAGTGGTATTTAAAATAATTTAAAAATAATTTATTATTTTAAATTTTAAAATTAAAATTGTCTTGAGATGTTAAAATATCTTATGTTTTATACTATATATATATATATATATATATAAATATATATATATATATATATATGTATTTGTTCATTTTTTATATTATAAATTGCAAACGCAATTTTATTCGTTTAAAAATTTATACATATTCTCATCATTTGATAAATGTAAAAGAACATATGAGTAATCTCCTGTTAATAAATCTGGATTACCATGATAAACTCATTTTTAAATTTGTAAAAACAAGTGTCTTAATGTTATCACTTTTCACAAATAAAACAAAATAATAACAAAGAACATTAGTATCGGGTCGAGGAAAGTGTTTATCGTAAAGTGGCCCGATAAAAAAAGCACAAAATACGTTTGCTTCGTCAAACACAGCTAATGCATTAAAAATTTGTAAAACAAATACTAAACAATAAAATGTTCATTGTCACTTTTACGGATAAGTTGAGAACCGTTGCAAATCCAACTCACGACTATTATATCGCGCATTGTCTACCATTTTTATAGAATTCAGAAGCACGAATCTTTCACATTATTCGTTGGAATTATCCATGGGAATAAATCCTAACTGGCCTAAACTCGCTGCTCTCTCTCTCTCTCTCTCTCTCTCTCTCTCTCTCTCTCTCTCCCTTTCTTTCTTTCTTTCTTTCTACATTTCAAGGGCATTCATTCGAAAGACAATAATCAACAAATCCCAAGTAAAAAAGTCGCACCTTCGACAAAAAAGACTGACACGCCGTACCTACCGACTGCTTGATGAGATAAATCAACACAGAGCGTCTTCGCACCCATTTTTCACCTCTTCCCACGCGTATCCTCATACGATATAAAAGGCGGCCAGTTATACGGTAGAAAAAAATTTGCGAATGCTCGGAGAAGGTCTCGTTGTAGCCAGCCTACTGGAATTACTAGACTAGTTTTTGAGGTTATGTATCGGCACGAGGGAGCGCCGACGTCAGCTAAGCGCCCGTTTTTATTAACGTGCTTATCCCTGGCACTGTCCTTACCTGTATTGATTACGAGGGGACTGCCTTCGTGGCCGATCACTTGATAAACTTCCGTGGAGGTAGGCACGAGACTCGCGGGCGGACGTTTCTAACGGTTGATAACGCGATGCGCGACGACGCCATGAAACTCGCGCAGTCGCGCGCTCGCATCCACGCGCGATGCCAAAGTCAGCCAGACGGCAAATGAGAGGGAGAGAGCGAAGAGATACGTAGATAGAGACAGAGAAAGAGAGTTACGCATACGATGAAAAGGTTATCTTTGGCTGGCGCATTGGTGATTATTAAATGTCTCATCGAGTACGTGCACGGCTGATGCTTCGGAAGCTACGCTCGGAATATATCGGCACTCTATCTTTTGGATCTCTGCATCCAGCTCTGTCTATAAATCGTTGCACGTGCTTTCTTTTTACATTCGTCCACGCCTAAATTCAACATCCGTTTTCACTTTCGTTCTTGTCTATATATCTTGTTTTGTTTCTTTTCTTCTAAACCATATCTATCTATCAAATTTTCTCATCCTCCTCGCATTTGATCGAATCTAAGACATTGAAGTGGTGAAATTAATCACAAGTTCTTAAACATACGTGCCTTTGGATATTATAGGCTTGCTATTTCATTTATAGTCATTGCTGTTACTATAGTCATTATATAGTTATAATCTTATGCATAAATTATATTATGATATTAAATGTTATATTAATTACAATGTTTAGGATTAAGTTACTCGTAATTAATGTATTATAGTATGATTATGAAGCACGTGGATTTTCGAATCTCTTTGAACGTAGTCGGTAGCGTTAACACATTAGCATTATTATCTATCGATGTGAAATAGTTATGAGATTGGAAATTTGTAAATTATAATTATTTATTACATCGATTCCTTTAATGCTACGTGATGAAATAATAAGATGTTGTAAGATTATCTTAAGATGTGACGGACAGTAAAATTGACTTGATCGAGTCAAATTTACATTTTGACACGATTAAATCAAAGATATTTAAAAATATAAACCAATTTTTTTATCTGTCTGTTCCGTTGATCCCGTCCCATCCATCCAGCCTATTCAACGAAAGAATAATATTAATTTTTTTTTTTTTGTACATATTACCATCATTATCGATAGATGTAATAAGAAAGTATCGTTATTCCCTTGTTAATAAGTATGCAAATACCGTGTGAAAATTAATATTTTTTTCACATATTAGACGATATGAAATATTCAGATTATATATTGTGCAACACATATGTATGTCTATTTTTGCCTTTAAACTGCATGCCTTTAAACATTATAAATAATATTGGTATCATCTTTACTATGGCTAGCGAATTACTAAAGTGAATACTGCAACTGCAACTGTACTGTATGTAATGGTAATGTGCAATAATAATTGTTGCAGAGAAAAGAATAAAGAGAGAAAAGTAAATTCTTACGAAGTAAAGCAAAAACTAGTCAGGCACGCTGGCTAGTTAGAAGGTGGTGGGTTGGCAACCATGGCCGACAACAAACAGATGGAGATGGATCAGTCACAGGCCCAGGCCCAACAACAAAACCAGAACCAGCAGTCCCAACAGATGATAATAACGACTCATGATATGCAGCAGAATGTGCAGCAGCAGGCTCAACAGCAGCAACAGAATCAGGCTCAGCAACAGAATCAGCAGCAGGCAAACGGACCACAGAAGTTACAGACACAAGTCCAAGTCCAGCCGCAGGTCGCAGCAATCATGCCGCAGCAGCATGTATTTTACCATTTTTGTTATTCCCTTTTTCTTCATCTTCAACATCATCATCGTCACCGACATCGTCATCATCATCATCATCATCATCATCATCATCATCATCATCATCATCATCATCTTCTTTTTCTTCTCCTTTCTGTGACTTTTCTTTTCCCTTGTACAGGGTTCGCAAATTATCTAGTAGTAATTCACTTTCTCTCTCTCTCTCTCTCTCTCTCTCTCTCTCTCTCCCTCCATTCTCTCTTTCTTCACTCTCATGCTGTCTCTCACCCTCCTCTCGGTCTCTATCTTTAAATCTATTTTTCTATAGAACATTTTCTTGTGACGTGACGTGATGGGCAGTTCTTATATATATCGTTTTGATTTCTTTATATTCTCCCAAACTTTTAATTATTACATAGTTTCTATTAAAAGAGCATTTCACATTGGCAATAGAGGACAAAAAGTGCTATATACTTATGTCTGTTAATAGATAAAAATTATTTTCTTTTGAATAATTTATATTCTATTATAAGGACAAGATAGATAGTATTAGTAATTCTTGTCCAATTAATTTAACAATATTCTCGAACTAGCGAAGTTGGAATTTGCCCATCAATGCGCTCGATTATTTAAAGAATAAGAAAAAAAATTGAAAAAAAAACAACAAGCAATTCTTAATGTAATGCATTGATGAATTTTTTTTTATTTATTTATTTATTTATTTTATTTTTTTTTTGTTTTTTTTTTTTTGTTTTTTTTTTGTTTTTGTTTTCGTTGATAAGAAGCGATTTTCATAAAACTCAAAATATTATTTTAAGATAATAGAATAAGCAAATAGACTGTTGTCCGTTGCAAAGCCGAGTTAAAAAATTTATTAAAGTGTTAAAGATAAATTTTAAAATAGAATGAATATTCAGTGATATTCTACACAATCTAAGAAATTAAGGGAAGTATAAGTATATCTTACGGAATAGTTCTTCCCAGCCCCTTCCCCAAAATAAAGTAAAATAAAATAAAAAATAATAAAGCAAATGGAAAAACAACCAATAAAACCAATATGTTCAGGAATCGAAATTTTCTCGAACAATTAATTTGAAAAAGGCCGTAAAAGTGACTGGACTGCATTAGCGCCCGATCGGCCAAGAGAATGACGAATGGTTAATTGAACGACACTAAATAACGCCAAATGCTCGCATTAATGTATCCCAAAAGCAGAATACGAGCAGTGATTACTCGATACTTGTATGAATGGGACGCGGGAGAGGCGGCGGTATTTATTCGCAGGCCTAAGCTAAAAAGGCGAAGCCACGTCGTAGGCTCTTTTCGTCCGCTTAGGCGTACATAGTCGAATCGAATACGCATGTACGTACGTACGTACGTGCAAGTCCGTGTCGATAAATTTGACAGTCGAGTCGCGTGACTCGAGCTAACTCTCAGCTTTGCAGCGGTCAGCTCCAGTTTGATATTCTCGGCGATTATTAGGGCGTAGGCCATTCGTACACTTGATGCGCCCAAAATTGATAAGGTGAGAAAGTTGCAGGACGCCGTGGCAGTCTCGATGCAGCATCAGCAGCAGTCGCAAAACGTCGGCGGCGTCTCGATGACGCTCTCCGGTCAGCAGGGTGCGACTACCATCACGACCATGGCCGCCCATCCCCAGGCGGTCCAGGTCATCCAGCAGCCGATGCAGAATCAGTATCACCTCCAGCAGCTCTACAATGCCCAGGGCACGCCGCTGCTCATGCCCGGTAATCTTCTGGCCCACCCGGCCGGCATTAATCCCTCGCCCATACAGGTAAATGGAACTCACGATCAATTATATCCCGATGAAACCCAGCTTCGACGAAACAAAGCCATACGTATAAAGTTTTTTGACATTCATTATTTTCATTCGTCAAGCCTCTAAGTACAATCGAGCGGGCTTGAATTGATAAATTTTTCATGACTTTTGCGAGCCTCGCGGCCCTTTGCATGACACGATGTCGTTTAACGTCCTCCGTAAACCCCCGTGGATCGTAGACCAATATTCCATTGAATTGGTCGCCCATGGCTTCTCAATAATTTCAACGGGCAATCACATTTACGCGCCCTAGAAAAGCAAACATCATCATCGTATGCCCAGTAGGTCTTCGGAACGTCCCTCGATCATCGTTACGTCCGAGGTTTACCCATTAGTCATTCGCCTACGACGGGAGTCCCTCGTTCGACCTTAGCAAAGCTTATACCATACCGGATGTCTTGCAATTTGCGCAGGTGCAGTTCAACAACATAGCCGGCAAGCCCTTCCAGACGGGCGCGCAACTCGCTCCCCACATGCTGACAACCGCGTCAACGGGACAGGGTGGTGCGCATCCCGGGGCTGCCGGCGCCAAGGTCCAGGGCTTCCCCGCCGGTTACATACCGGTGCCGACGTCGGCGACGCCGGGCGGTGGACAGACCCTCGTCTTCGGCCAGCTCGAGGTCGTACCCCAGCACCAGACCTCCATTCAGCAACAGCAGCAACAGCAGGGCAACAACAAGAACGACCAAGTGCAAAAGGTAAGGGCCAATCCCATGTTCCCTAAAAAATCTCTCTCTCCGACCTACCGCCTCCTCGCTCCAATCCATCCCTCCATCACTCATCGATTCCTCGTCGTTCAATGCACGTTGATAATTGCCACCATTGTCCGTCCCGGCCGGCCCCTGTGCACCACTGAATTATCACGTCGCGTTTCGACTGACGTCGCGAAATTACATTATTGTGGCAGTATACAACGTGTACGGCTGGCGCACCATCGGGCCAGAATCGCGGCATGCAATTCGCCCCCTGGCAATTCGCCGCCCAGGGCATCTGGACCGGACTTCAACCGCAGACGTTGCTCACGGCAGCTCCAAATCAAATATTTATACGAGACCCGACGCAGCCTGACATGTTCATACAGAGTCCGCAGCCCATTCAGACGCATAATGGTAAGTAGCCCCAACCGATCAAGCCTTTTTCCCTGATAAAGCAATGAAAAATCAAAATCCGATGCAGCGATAATTCATTTTGAAATTGAGTGCTTATAAAGCTCGCTTAAGCTCGAAAGAGGTAGCTTGTTTAATAAATCTCTTAATCAATCTCGCCAATAAGTTACTATTTCTCGCTCGATCGCGAAACACGCATACGCCATTTAACATAATAAAATAAACGCGATTGATTTGTGGAGTGTGAGAGAGAGAGAGAGAGAGAGAGAGAGAGAGAGAGAGAGAGAGAGGGATACGAGTGGGGCAGGAGTCACGATAAGTCAGTCGCGTAGGCTACGGTGATTGTCCCTGAAAGTTAAACGCGCGTTCGAGCTGACGATGCAGGTTGACAAGAGCGGAAAAAAAAAGAAAGAAAGACGAGGTATAACGATGTCTTGACGTAGCACTGGCGGCGCAGCAGCAAATCCAGGGTGTCCAGCAAATAGCTACGACGGGAGGCAAGCCCCGGGTGATGAACATACAGCAGCAGCAGCAGACGAACAAGCAGGGCGTCGTGAGCCAACGTCCGCTCAGCATCCTCCCGTCGTCCTTACAGGGCGTCCAGGCGGCCAATATCAGGCCAGCAAGTTCCGTGTCCACGCAGACGAACCACGGGGTCCAGGCGACGGTCCACGCCCAGGTATGTTGCTCATTATCATCCATTCGAGCCCATCCATGCCCATCTTTATTTTGTTCGTTTTCTTTATTACCCTTTATTTTTGCTTCGTCCTCATGTGTCTCATCATGCCGCAGCTGTTGTCATTGCCGAGGAGTTATTATTGTTTTACGATTTTGCTTCGCTTATTCGCCGTGGAGGCCGAATTCATTAAACGGTGATATACTGGCTTTCGCGGATATTGTCCTATCGACGCTCGCTTGGGATACGAGACGACGATGAATGTTCATTTTCATCCAGGCCGAGTTCCATACTACGGTGATGGGATACGTCGGTCTAAAGCTTCAAGTTTCTCTTCGCGTTCCGATTGGTTCACAAGATTACATACTTGTCGCAATAGATGCGAGGGCCACTCATGGCACAAGAATATCTTTGCCTTAAGTGTATCCGCTTGCCGAGATGAACAACTTTAATTGCAATTACGTATAATTCTTAGAGTCTTTCGCGAACTCTGAAGGTCATGTATCGTTGATAAAAGCGATAAGGCGCAATTGCACTGCTTACGAATGGCCGTGAGACATTTTATACTCTTGACAGATTATCGACCATAAATACTCGCGTATTTGAGAACACTCGTTGAGCTTCGATAAAATTCATCGTGCCGAGGGGTAAATGAAAAGCAGCTTAGAAAGTGACGCGATTAACTGTATTTTTGTTGGCAGATTGTTCGAAAACGCTCTTTTCTTCATTCTTTTCACTCTAATATTCTTCGTTTTCGTCGTTTTCTTCATTTTCTTCTTCTTCTTCTTCTTCATCTTTCCTTTTCTTTTCTTTTCTTTTCTTTTCTTTTCTTTTCTTTTTTCTTCTTTCCTTTTTTCTTTTTCTGTTAGTCAAGTGAAATGTTGAGCAGCTCTTTGTCGCTCGTTTACTCACGAATGGATAAGCATATATTATTGGCAATATTCAGGCTTCCCCAATTCCCCAATTCTAGCCGAGTCTGCGAGTCCAACTAAATGTATTTACGCACTGTATGAGATTTTATATTGTCCAATGCTGCTTCGGACGAGACATGCGTATCTTGTCTATTAAATCGCGCGTCCGTGTTTAAAGGCACTTTTTTTAAAAGGAATAAAAAGAACGAGCGATTAAGGAGAGGTCGCGATCTGTCCCTCCTCCCGGCCAGCCCCAACGATTAGCCAAGAGCGCTAAAGGGTCGCAAGGGGGGGGGGGGAGGCGCGATTCGAATTTGCGGAGTAATGACGAGGAGACAATTGACGACTCGCTCCCCGACAAGTAGCACTAGTCGCTGTGCCCAGTTCACAAAAAGAAAAGAAAAAGAAAAACGAAACAATGAAAGAAAGGAAGCAAGACAATAAGAAAGAAAGAAAGAACATCCAGTCGGCCTCGAAGCCCAAGCGCCGAGCCGCGATCGCCGATACGAGCAAAATCCAAAGTAACAACGTCCAAGGGACGACAACGCTGTCGGGTTGTGAGGGCGTGCGGACACGTAATGCCAGCAGCCTTATTATTTTGTCGTTTTTTTGTTTTATCCGTTGATTCAGAGCGGCAAAGGAGGTGGCGGCGCGGGCAAAGGCCGCGGTAAGCCGGTGGTTCGCACAAGTCCCGGTCCTAACGCCATCAATGTCACGGTAACGAAGGCCGGTGGCGGCGGCAACGCATCCGGCGCACAAACTAAAAACGCCAATGTCCAGCACGCGACAATGATAATGCAGCCGCAGCCCGGGCCCCAGACCGCGGGCAACAATAACGGAACGAATAACAAAATGCTAATAGCGACGAGCACAGCAACTTCTGCGCAACCACCCGGCTCACCAATGACCGCCGCTGACAAGCAAAATTTCGGCCAGCAACAAAACAAACAAACCGTTATGCAATCACCCCAGCAGCAGCAGCAACAACAGCAGCAGCAGCAGCAACAGCAGCAGCAGCAGCAGCAACAGGCCCAGGCCCAGCAGCAGGCTCAGGCACAGGCCCAGCAGCAGGCCCAGGCCCAAGCTCAGCAGCAGCAGGCTCAGGCACAGGCTCAACAGCAGGCCCAACTCCAAGCCCAACAGCAGCAGCAGATACAGCAGATATTCATCCAACAGATTCAGCAGCAACAGCAACTGCAGCAGCAGTACCAGCAGGCCCAGCAGGCGCCCCAGCAGATTCAACCCAAACCCCTTATGGGTAAGTGACATACGTTCAGCCCTTCACCCCCTCCGTCTTCTTATCGTCGCTTTAAATCCCTTATGGGTGACGAACATATATAACCATCCCGTCACCTCTTCCCGTCTTCTTCACTCTCCTACGTCCTCCGATCGACGCTCGAAAAATTTTCATACGCTAGTTCTTCTAACTCGCTATAATGGAGAATCTCCCCAACTGTCCAGCAACGATTTCAAAACTGTCGAATTGCCTGCGGACTTATTACCAATCGCTGATGACGGCGAGCGTCAATCTCGTTGTCAATTATTACCATTCGCCGATACAACAACACATAGATGCAGCGAAAATACAAAATCGACGCCAATTTTATAATACAATCCCGCGTACATTCATTCTTCCCTGATGATATTAATTGTTTGCTTTTGCATGCCGTAGGCACGATTATTGTTAGCATTTTATCTTAATTCATTGTTATCCAGAGATAGACTCTTAGACTTAGAAATAAATTATTAACATCAATAATAACTAATTTGCTAACGCGTATGTGGCAAATTTCATGGTTATGTGCGTGCGTGTTTTGGGAGAGAGAGAGAGAGAGAGAGAGAGAGAGAGTGAGTGAGTGAGTGAGTGTGAGAGGGATGGGGGAGGGAGGAGCAGATAGATTTCTAATTGATAACGTCATCGATTTCGATCAGTTTGATTAATTGATGGTCATTGGGCCGATAATAGCAATGGTGAGAGCTTAGACGGTGAGCGACAAATGAATAAGTTCAGCAGACGAAATAACCTCTATTCATCCTGCCCCCGTAATCGACATTTCGTCGATCGAAATCCAACCTGAGCCTCGCCTCGTCACCTACAGTCTATTTTATTTTTGCCTTGCAATCGTGCGCAATGACCACTACGACCGGCCACTTACGTAGAAATGGAAAGGCAAGATAGGCTACGTCGGATTTTGCAAAAATTGCGATGCTTTTGCAGGCCGGCTGGTCAGTCGTGTCGGTAAGGTGTAACGGTTAATGCCAGTTAAAGGTGAGCAGCGACGCGCGCGCACAGGTAATGTCGTAAAATGTGCTCAGGGTCGACGGCTACTAGTTCCCGGCAATGCGCGTTGCCTTGTAAAAACGAGCATAGCCGGTTATTGAGGGAATAAGTCAAGGCGTACGCTTAATTGCTCGGCCAATTGTTTGACGGGGCCGTGTGAAGGGAGGGCGGCAGGGAGGAGGAATGGAGGGTCGTATGTCTCGAGGAGTTTAGAGAAGATGCGCTTGGCACGTTGTCAGAGGAGGGCTAACCATGCGAATGAGAAGGAAAGCGGATTGCGCCGTCGGGCATGGGGAGGTAGGGAGGGAGGTGGTGGTGTAAGCGCGAGGTGACGGCAGCAACGTGCGATATACGCGTAAATTACGAGGATGCCAAATTGGATTTAAAGGGGATTAGCATAACTTATCGAATAGAATTATTCACAGGCTGGCGTAGATGTCGGGGAACGGCAAAGAAGAACCTTATCACAATGTGCCCTTAAAAAACAATGTCATACGAGTTGCGGGCCGTTGAAAAACATAATCCTTCGTTTATTGAGAGTTTACCTCCGGAAAATACGATTAATTATTGGAAAGTACGACGAATGTAAATAAGACGATTTGATTATTAAATGCTTAATCGGACTTGCTTACTTTACAACTCTATGCATGGACAATAATTGCGAGTTATTGAATTAAGGCAGAGGTTTTATTTATCATTGCACGTTGCGCTAATGTAAATGTACGATTCAATTTTTACATTTCATCATCAATCGCTCATCCCAACCCGACAAATTAAACTTTAAACTAAAAAGAGTGCAAAATATGTATTTGAAATAATAATCTATTCGTGTATGGCGAGGATTTTTATTGTAATTTTCAAATTCACTTCGATGCCTATAATATTATAATAGGCAATAGTACAACATTTTCATTGAATATAAATATAGAAAAAAATTAATATATAAATATAAAAGAAACTAACTCTATACAATTCTTGCTTATCGAGTCTAGTTTATGCATTAAACATATATGTAAAGCCTTTATATGCATTCAAATGCATTAAACGCACGGCGAAGCTATTAAGGTTACTCGCCATTTAAATTCAAGTGTGTAAAGATTCAAATTGTTCAGCAATTTTCAATTCCATAGCAAACGGTACAATTAGATCGTAAAACATCATAAGATTAGCGCAATTGGACAATTCAGACGAAGTTGGCAACATTTTTCATTCACCATCGCGTTGGATGTAATCATATATAAACAATACCGATGCGATTAAACGAAATACGGTATCTTACACGGTCAATTAAACTCGGCACTCGCTCGCGACGCTCATTGTTCACCTTCGGGTATTTCAAGTTCAGTTAGGCACAAAATGCGGCTACCGCCGTGCCTTAATACGCGACCACCGCACGTTCTGCTAAATCTGATAATAGAGGAGGTGCACTCGTCGCACGATCATCGGCTTGTAAATATGAAACGCGGGTTTCATTCGGAGGCATGCATGGCCAGCCCCGACCCCCTCATATCACCAAGGTCATTCGCTCGCTATTTAATCCCCTCGTCCATAGTCCGTCCCGCGACTATTAAGTAAAAGAAAAGAAGAAAGGTTCGAACAATCAACGCTGCGCCCCGAAAAAAGACACAATTGTGTATCGCTCGGTAGGTATGGCGGTACAGCAGCAGCCTGGCCAGCAGCAGAACGTCGTCCTTGGTGGTGAGCGACCGATAATGCCGGTAGTCTCGATCAACCCCGCCCTTATTGGCAATCAGATCGTCAGTGGGGCCCATCAGATTCAGGCACTACCGATCGTCAGCCAGACGGCCGATCAATTGCAGGCCGCTGCCGTCGCGGCAGCGGCCCAACAACAGATGCATCAGGCCGCTACCCAACAGCAGCTCCAGCAGCAGCATCAACAACAACAACAGCAGCAGCAGCAGCAGCAGCAACAACAGCAACAGCAGCAGCAACAACAACAACAACAGCAGCAACAGCAGCAGCAACAACAACAGCAGCAGCAGCAGCAGCAACAGCAACAGCAACAGCAACAGCAGCAACAGACTTCCACGGAACAAGGTCAGAGTATGCCGATACTCGTGACGTCACCCGACAGGGCCGCACCCGGCCACATCGAACTCCAGTCGTTGATGCAGCCACCGCCACCGGCGGCCACCCCCATGAGCTCCACGGTCGATGATCCTTCTAAAATAATCATCCCTACGAAGAAGGAATCCTCGGAGATGGCCACTGGCGATGATGTATCAATGGATACGTCTGGTCAGTCGGGTAAGTCATTGACACAAGACACTTTCAAGGCTTTTTCGTTTATTTCGAATTATTGGCGAACATTGGCGCTCATTCACAATTTGTTGAATATATTGCTTTTGTATCGATAACCACGAGTCGAAACATAATGATTTGCTATCGGACGATTGCCTACAGTTCAATGAACGTTTAATTTTTGTAATTTGCGGATACGAATGTCCAAATTCCAAATTAACGAGCTCGTCGCTATCAAATTAAGTTCATTGCTTCCTCCCTCCATACGGCGATAATTCAAAGACAATATTGAATTGTATATCATTGGAGAATATTAGCTTGTCAAAAGTAGCATACGCACGCGTAAAAATTTAATGGAACTATTGTAGTCGACTTTTTCCCACCCCAGTAGCAACCCTATATACGCAAAAAATCATAGATAAAGATTAGTGAAATGTGTATTTTATATATTGATATTGTTAGCCGTACTATTGTAGGATAAAATCAATGAGAGAATCGAAATATTTCAGAAATCGACCAGAGGAATATCGGCAAGGACGAGCATCTGGATGGAGTGTCGATTAAGAGCGACGATAAAACCAATAATCCTCTTATAAATCTTGCGAACGCCGTAAACTCGATAACAAATGGCAATATCGGCGAGGAGACGACGGTCTTGGAATCTCTGCCGATGACAGTGAGCAGCAAGCAGGTGCCACCCAAGGCAATGGTTAAACCGCAAGTGCTCACCCACGTTATCGAGGGCTTCGTCATACAAGAAGGTAAGAAGATGTTACGGCACTCATTCGCATTTCCTACTTCCCGATTGTCGATCATGAAAAAGCAATTTTCCAAACAAAGCACCACCTTGTCTTTAAAGCTTTCAATGTTTTATTCGATGTAATTCATAGATCATTGGACGATTATTTTTTTTTTTTTTTTTTTTTTTTTTTTTTCATTCTTATTCTTATCAATTACGTAATGTGTTGCAAGGCCGAAGGTAGAAAATATAAATGCCTAACTGACTAAACACTGATCGATCAGATTAATTAAAATATGTAATTTTCCATTATTCATCGTCATTAGTCGTTCGCATTTTATTCATTTGTGTGTATATTGTGTAGGCGCGTAAATTCATAGACTTTGGTCAAATGATAATTAATTGTTACGCAGCATCGGAGCCATTTGCCGTGAATCGCTCGTCACTCAATGGATCGATAACGCAAGAAACAAACAACATTGGTAGAAATCACTCCGCGGATAAAGAAAATCACGAGGAGCCACTGATCAAAAGTAAGATATTCGATGACGCATCCTTCAATGAACTCTTAATCTCTATCACCCTATATGGAAATACAATTTATTTGCTCTTTTTATTTATTTATCTATTTATTTATTTATTTATTTATTTTTATATCCTAATATCCTTTTAACGTAGGAAAGAAAAATTCTGTCAATTACTCAACGGATGGAGACCAGGGCCTGCAAGGAAAATGCGAGGCATGTGGCAATATTCTGGACGAGCAGAACATGAAAATCAAGAAAGACAAGAGGTTCTGCTCAACTATTTGCGCCAAATCGTAAGTAACTGATTTTAATTATTACGCGATGCGCATAGCATTTTTATCAAAGGAAAATATTTACTTTCTTTTATATTCTTTCAAAAGACTTTACACGGTAATTAATTATGCGTGTATTTTTCTCTTCTCATTATCAGGAAAAAGAAAGAAATTCGAGATAACGGAGACAAACAATGGTCGGAAATAGAAATTGATGTTAAAATTGATAACGACTCGATTAAAAAGAATGGAGACGATAAGTCGATGATTGGTTTACCTCATAATGTGGCATTAGACGACTCTTTGCCAAAGATAAATCCTGTTAAGTGGACGGTAAGCATGTGTTTTAATTTTTAGCTATATTCCATAATTATTATAAACTATGATAATAAATGAGATTTAGGGATAGAGATATATTTTTGCTAAGAATTAATAATCTTAACAGCTGTCATGGGAACGAAAAATTAAATACCTTGCTTTGCACTATTATTTTTAATTTTTAATTTTTAATTTTTAATACATAGTCGAGGTCATTTATTAAATTCGCTTTCTAAATAATTTGGCTAAATGGAAATCGTAAGTCACGGACAAAATTACTCGTCTATGTAATAAATCGGTCTCGAAGAAAGTCGTATTGTCAAAATGTAAGATAAAAACTAGCGAAATAACCATTTGTTTATCAAAATTTTCGTTTCGTATCTAATTGCTGCTTGTAATTCATATCAATGCACGTAATTAATGTGACTTTTATGCTTCTCCTTTTTACCTTCAGCCAAGATACGTTTCGATTTAAAATTCAAGATATTTTTGTGTTATCGGATTAAATTGAAATCCTCAATAGCCACATATTCGTGGCGTCAATACAAAATCGATTTTCAATATATCCTTTATATATAATTCGATAAAAGCTTCATTAAAAATAAATCAAATTTTGATAAATGTTAAGCATTAAATTAATTTATTTATCAATCTGTTTTATCAATCAGATAAATACACGTCAAATACATTTATCAATCTGAAGAACAGCTGTAGTAACGACAATAGAAAGCTCGTGGCAGATATAATCGTTATTATCAGATCGAAACGAATTTTAATCTCATATCATCGATTAAAATTGAATTTATGTATTATTGCAGGTCGGCGAAGTTTGCGACTTTATAAGAAATTTGCCGGGCTGTGCAGATTACGCCGAGGATTTCGCCATTCAAGAAATCGACGGCCAGGCTCTCATGCTCCTCAAAGAGGATCACTTAATGTCCGCAATGAGCATCAAGCTCGGGCCGGCCTTGAAGATCGTAGCAAAAATCGATTCGATGAGGATGGATTCAACAACGAACGCCAGTCCCGTGACTGGCAGTAACGTTTAATGTGTACAAAGATAAAGAAAGGGTGCGTGCCTAGACAGATAAAACAATGTCCCATAGACATTTGTAATAATGATAATGTCAACAGTGTCGATAATATTTCATAGTATATTGTGAACGATTTTTGGAATTCGCACCCCTCGCGCTAATTATGAACACTAACTACATTGTGAGATTAAACGTGATTGGCAAACAATGTATTCTTAAGTGCATAATGACTACTCTTCGACATTGTTCGGAGTATAGGACAATTTCAAAATGTTTATAACAAAGTTATACACAGGGTACGTGCAAGCTATTTTTCTTAATTTAGTTAATGGAATACAAGTGACCTCTAAGTGGTTGTGTGAAAACAAGTATGAACATTCCGTTGTATTTTATTTCATCCTGGAGCTGATTCTTTTTCGTTCCACATCTCTATGTAATATATTTCTTTACGGAATTCGTAACTTTCTCTGTGTAAATAGTTAAAAGAGTAGTATTTTAAGCTTCATTTTGTAAAGTTATATTCCATTTATAGAAATAAAAAATTAAAAAAAGAAATTCAATACTTGTATGCTTTGAGAACTATTTTTTGTCCGATTAAGGTTCGTTTCAATTAACTTGTACGCTATATTCTGAGAACTATTAGATTTATAAAATGCAATCGATGGAATAGAACAGGATCGTTTGCTAAAATGAGATTTATAAAAAAAAAACAAAAAAAAAAACAAAAAAAAAATGAAAAAAAATTATTTGTTATACTTATACGAGATTATTGACATTGTAAAAATAAAAGTATTTTAGGTGCAATAATTCTTCGAGACACGATACAAAATGTCCACAGCTACAAAATGTTGATTTATCCATGGATAGAGATATAACCTTAATCATTTGAAAAAAATATTAGTCTGCAAAATACAAAGAATTGAATTATATACTTGCAGTTTAACTTACGTAATAGTGTACATATTATAAGTAAAATGTTTATTTAAATACAAATTTTATAATGTAAACTTTAAGTTGAATAGTCATGGTTTTTCCATGCATTCTCATAATCATATATTTCCAATTTGCAAGAAAACTGAGGGGAATTTGTAAAAAAGAAAATTATCTTGTTCAAAGAAATCATACTATTTTTCATGTCGAGCGAAAATTATTCTAAAAAATGAAAGACAAAAAATTGCGAAAATATCAATGTCCATTTGTATTAAAAAGTTTGAGCGATTAAACATAGAACTATATAAATCGTTCATTTTTTTATAATAACATTTCTATGCAATTTGGAATACACAAGCATCTATAAATAAATTTGAAAGTGTTGTTTATTTCATTCAACTTCAATATCCTTCCTTAATGTAAAATCAAATAATAAAAATTATAGCAATTATATGCACTATTTATTTAAAGTCTTTGTTTAATTTGTATATTATATAATATAAAACAAATTGTAAATTTTTTTTTTTTTTTTAAGTTTTTCATGGCTTTATTAAGATTGCGTTTGTTATTCAATCCATAGATTCTAAATTTGAATTTGATAGTTACTCTATTGTTTTATATTGATTTTTAAACAATAAAAAATTTCGATCATGGATATTTCTTCTTTCTTTTATACTTATATTTATATGCTGAAACCATTTGATAATCAATAAAAATTAAAAAATACTTTTAATAATTACTTACATAAATATTTCGTATTTATCTGTTATATTATTTTTTATGCATATAATTGTACTATACACGCACGCACACCCATAGGTACTATGAGTCATGTACGGTGCGTGTGTATAAATTATATACAATTATAAATATTTTGATAATATTCAAAATTAAATAAAAATATGCAAAAGGAAAATTGTAAATTGTTTGCTAATGATGAAGGTGAAATAAAAGATAAACAAAAAAAGCAAAACGAAAAGTTAAGTTTATAGACAATTGGAGTTATAATTAATTTTTATTACTACAATAAAAATTACTCACACATTTGTATTGAGGTTCGTGAAAACAAAAAGACTTCATTTAAGCAATAAATCTTTATGTATTATAAATTGTACAAAATGATATTACTATCTAAAATCTACAATATACACTAATCATTTTGAGCATTATTTTTCTTTTCATCCAACGATATTCTACCTTCTCTTAAAAGTTCGATCTTAGATTCTTCGCTTTCTGCATGAAACAATGGCTTATTATTAAATATAATTTGATTTAAGTTGAATCCTATTGCAATTAAACATAATCCAGAAATAGTTATAGAAGCAGCGGTAAAGCCTTGATATAAAAAGTCGTATACTTTGAACTTCAGCCGAGTTTTAACCATTTTGTTCGTTCTTGCCTGAAAATACAATTTAACGATCCATTAATTATTTTCTTTATAATATATAAACATTTCACTTAATTTATATTAAATACCAGCTAGTAAATACTTGATATTTATTTTGATTAAAGAACTATTTATATCTTACCTTAAATGACAATGGCCTTTATTATAAAATGATATTCTAAATTCTAACCTATAACTACGGTTATACGATTCAATAATCAGGCTGTAATTTTTGCGCATGCGCTTTCAAGAAACACGAAAATTTAAAAAAAGGAAAAAAAAGGAAAAAAAAAAAAAAGAAGAAAAAAAAGAAAAAAAAAGAAAAAAAAAGGAAAAAAAAGAAAGAAAAAAAGAAAGAAAAAAAAAGAAAGAAAAGAAAGAAAGAGTAAAGAAACGGGGACATTCAATTGTAAGAAAAGAAATGAATTTTATCGAATATAGTTTATATTCTTCCTACATTGTATTTTGAAAACGGTTAATTGAAATAAACTTATTGAAAAATAATCATATCATTATAAATATTTTATAAAATGAAAAAAATGATAAAAAAAATCACATCATTAGCATATAAATATTAAGACAAACAAATAAGTATTTTAAATATTATCTTTTAATGAAAATTTTACAAGTTTTAACATAACGAAAGATCAAATCTTTACATAGCATTCTTTTATTTCTTTACAAAAATACAGATATGCAATTCTTATAATCGAGTGTCAAAGAAATTTGCAAACATATTCTCATGCTTCGTTCATTCATAATAATATATAGATTTGCGGTGTCTGTGCATGTGTATGCATTGTTGCCGGCTACATCATAATTTTAACGTAATTAATATAAATTCAAAGATAAATTATTAGCAAAATAATGTGTAAGAATTTGCATAAGCAAGTATTAACAAATATAAGCAAATATGTCATATGGATGTGTACTTAGAATTATTTAATAATTAATATATTTATTGCATTAAATGTAACATAAAAAAAAAAAAAAAAATAAAAAAAATAAATAAATAAATAAAAAAAATAGTGTGAACAATTAACAGTCTTATCACAGTAAATTCAGTGCTCATAAAATCTTTTATCAAGTATTAAAATCCATTGAGATGGATTTAAAGTATTACATATTAGAAATATTCTTATCTATAATGGCTAAGTTAATGATTTGAATGCTCATAATAGCAATTACAGCTCTCAATATTTCCCTATCTTTTCAAATAAATAATGAATTAGATATATAATTTAATATGGTGCACTTTACGTTTAATATTGAATTATTTTGATCATCCAGTATAATAATTATACAAATGTTAAGTGGAAATTTTCAAAAAAAATTTTATTCTAGAGTTAATTGCTTTAAAGAATTACAAGTATTAATATAATTTGATATTTTTGTAATCAAAGTTGACATATTAAAGTAATGCTATTTACAACTAGATATATTATTATTGATTCATTGATCGATCCACTTTTAGTTCTATGATTCATATTTAAATTAATACTGCATTAAATTTATGTAGAGTCGTTAGTTAAGAGAATCGTATGATTTGAAAATTTTAGCTAATGAAATAGAACCGATTAAAAATAACTATCACTGTTTATGGAAAATAAATCAAGCAAATTTACAAATTTAAGTTGGTTTGGTGAAAATTCTGATTAAGCATTATAACTTCAACAATATGAATATATATATATATATATATATATATATTTTTTTTTTTTTTTTTTTTTTTTTTTTTTTTAATAATTTGGTTGTAATGCAATAATCAAGTTTTGATTCAATAGTTTAAATTATTTTATTTTATTTCTTACATATTTACTGCTTTTCATGAAGTCTCTGTTTATAAAATCTAAAGTCAGTTAGTGTAATTCGATAGTTTAAATAATTAAATTTTATCTCTTATATATTTGCTATCTTTCGTAAAGTCTCTGTTTATAAAATCTAAAATCAGTTAAAAACAAAATTTATAAACAAACGAGAGAAACAGATTTTCCAATACAAACAATTAATTGTATTTGATTGATGGATGAACTATACTAGAAAATCTTTTTTTTCTCTCCTGACTAGTGCGAATTTGAATGGAAGTTAAATAAATATCACTTTTTATAAAACTTAACTGCTTATGGTTGACACCCATGTAACTTTATAAATTTAATGGGGTGCACATTCTGCCTTCATAGAATGTAATTTTGATTTTAATAATTTTATAATAAGGGCTTATAAATACTAATGTATCAATGTAGGCCGTTTGACATTTATTGCACAAAAAATGCGTGCAACACTTTGTAAGTTATAGTATTTACAAATCATGCACATTCATTATTATCTAAATATTCGTAAATAAATATCAGTATACTAATATGTGATACTCAATACTTATTAAGATGTAAAATTTTTTTTTTCTTCTTTATTTTATTAACCTATAAATAAAAGCTTAATTATAAAAGATTTCAAGTAAAGCATTAAATTTCCCACGATGAGCGTTTGCTCTTCATTTATTTTAATAAAATTTATCCTCGGCACATTTTGATCTTTAACGCAATAAATATACAAGTATACTTGTGTATCGCTCTCACTTGTGCTTATTTGCACATATTTGTATAAATGATAACAAATAATTATTTTACTATTATTAAAATATATAGTTATATTAATTACATTAACATTGCGACGTAATACTTCTTCTTCTTTTTCTTTTTCTTGCTTCTTAAAGCCGTGCAACGTTGTTATGGAAGAACCAACTTCCAGAAGTAAAGTTTTCTTTATTACTGCTTATAACAGTCTTAAAAAAGTGAGAATAAAACATTTTTTCTCTCTATCAATGTCATAGAAAATTCTTCTTCTTCTTTTTTTTTTTTTTTTTTAACATCTAATTGACCAATATAATAATTATCATACATTATTCGTACTCGCATTCATTGCAGAATTTTTCGTTTATATACGAGGCGTAAAACAACGAAGTTATAACTATTAGTAACTGCAATTACATTGCATCAGTTATCACAGTGAAAGTATGATGTCGCACTAGGAGCAATAAATTTTGTTCAAATTTTCAATTACGTTATGTTACAAAAATAACATATCGGTTGCAAATATTTTAAGCGCATTACAATGGAATACAGACTTTTACTAAGATAATAGTTGATATTATACACTTTCGACTATTCGACCAATAACGAAAACAAATTAATCAGTGTATATTAAATCAAAAGTTGTCAATCCTTCGAAATATAATGATGTATTACTTTCACCTGTGCGAAATTCTGTTGATAATAATTAAAAAATTAATATTTACAGAGTTATTGTATGAAATTTATGGTGCAACAGTTATTAACATTTGCTTAATAAGCCATGTATATAATGAAAGAAAAACTGAGGAAAAGTTAATAATTTATTATTATTATTTTTTTTTATATATAATTTTTCAAACTACCATATTTTCGTAATTTTCAAATATCGTGTTTATCATTAATTCGCAACTTTGTACAGCGAAATCTTATTGTACTTGAGGTGTAGCTAATTTTCACAATTAGATTTAATTATTCAATGTCGTTTATCGATGTTGTATATGAATAATAATAGATGACGCATAGTAAAGGTCTGTATTGTCGTGAAATGAAAATATATTATAAATTTTATTTATATAATTATTTTTGAATGTTTAATTACTGTTCGTAAGATTTTTAATGAAACTTCTCTAAAAAAAATTTTTTCTTTTTTTTTTTTTTTTTTTTTTTTTTTTATAAATTTTATTTTGAATATTCGCTTGTCATAATTTCGCTCAAATACCTTTCATCTTCGCTTTCACTGTTGTAACAGCACTTATTGTACTTTTCACTATGGTACACATATTTACAAAGTCTTAAGTTTCCTTTCCTAAGTCAGTTCTGTTTTACGTGGTTTCTAAGATCTTTGAAAACATTTTTAAAGGAACGTTTCTCTTTTTTTCGTATCTATTTACATTAAACATCAACATGGCAATAAATAGTATATGTAATAAAAAAAAAAAAAACAAATTATAAAGGAAATGATAATAGATGAAAAACAAGATTTTTTTTTAGCGATACTTTGTGAAATTTAAATATATATATATATATATATATATATATATATACATATAAATTACATAAGTACTAATAAAAATGCTTAATAACTATTATTTTATATTTCAAGTAAAATAAAAGAAACTGTAAAGAGAAACGGCTCCGAACATTACAGTGAACATAAAATAAAAATTAATATTATTTATTTATATGATTTTTTTATGTGATTTTAATTGCATTTTTACATATAAACGTGAGAAATAAGTAACACTAGCAATTTTCGTATTAATTGCCCTGAATTTGAAATAAAATATTAGCAAATAATTTCAAACGATTAGAAATGTAAGAATTTTGCTATATCGTCTCTTTGTGTAATGCACAAAACAATGTTAATTTGTAAATACTGATCGTGTATGCTTATGAATTATAATTCTTTTTTAATACCTTACAATAATTCATTGAAAAAGAAAAGAAAGATTTAAAAAACAAAAAAAAAAAAAAAAATGAAAAAGAAAAGATAAAAACGTCATGGATATTGATTGATAAGTAAAATAATTATTTAACCACTTTAATGGAATTTGACCTTCTTGTTTTTTATGCATATCTATATGCACAATTATAAAATTATTTAGATATTATTACATACATGGAGATTGCAGAAACAAAGAAAAAAAATCATCAATAATCTATCTTAAATTGGAAATGTCAAGTTAACTAATAATAACAAGCAACGGTATTCTTTCTATTAGATTGAGAAAATTTGATAATTACATTCACAATGTTCTTTTATCTATACAGCAACTTTAACGAGCTTAGCGTCTATCTCAACATAAAAATAAAAAATTATGATTTCGATTAACGTGTTAAAATGATAATGAATTTTTGGATAAAAATCTACGACACTAATTTGTATCGTATTGTGTCGATAGATAAATCTAATAATAGTAATTTCTCGATCTTCCAATGGAAAAGAAATTCATTATTATTTTGATTGGAGGAAGTAAATAATTATTAATGAATAACGCAATTTGATCCCGTGCGATTACTTAAATCTGGCTTCGCGAGCATAAGCATTTAATTGTCGCATATCAACATAAATTCGCTTGTCATTATTATTATTATTATTATTATTATTATTATTATTATTATTATTATTTAAAAATTTTTTTTTTTTTGGTCTTTATTATTTATTTATTTTATTATTATTATTTTTTTAATATTTAAAAAAAAAATTTTTTTTTATTGAGATTTAGAGATCAAACAAACAAAACCATACCGATGTGATTTAAATGCACTAGCGAACAACAGATACACGAATCAAGTACATAATATAAATAGTAGGCCTGTACGAATTAATCTTTGCGTAAAAAATTACAGTCGATGATTAATATAAAACGAAAAGCTCTCGTCGATTATCAATAATTACAAACTGGAATCATATATCATCAGCGATCGATCGTTTAAGCTTTGGGGCTGGGTGGTGGTGGGGAGGGGGCGACAAGGGCTTGTTCAGCATACGGCGGTAAGACCTCATCGTCAATTACACGCGATTAACGCTCGCACAACGAAAGAAAAGCTTGATCCAGTGCTCGGTCCTCTGAGATTAAAATTCCCCTGCGCGGGCCTTACTCAAGTTACCTATTCGAGAGATGTTTGAGAGGCCCGAGGCTGAGGATCGAGGTTGCGCCCAGCGCCCCGAGGTTGCATGTGTTAGGGTTCCGCGCGCCGTCGATCGAGACGATCGGTAGTGCGAAGTATCCGCCAGTTTGGGCGCTCAACTGCGAGAGTGGTATGTAGCTTTGTATGCCGAGGTTCGAGAGCCGGCTGAGAGTGTTGGGCGATTTGAGGTCGACTACGGGGAGCGCGAGCTCCGTGGTGCCGTTCTGCTGGAGCGTTGCATCTACCTCCTTATGGTACGTCTTCTTGTGCGTCGCGAGAGCGGCCGCGGTCGGATACTGGGCCGGACACAGGTTGCACCTGCGAAAGCGAAGACCAGGATATATAAAAGGCATGTGATCGAGGGCAGGTTTAACAGGTCAAGGTCAATCGTACGTTTTCATTGGATAACGGATGAGGGTATGAGGAATGGTGGGTGGGGTGGGAGTAATTGGATCGTCATCGTCACTTTGAAATTATAATAATTGTAATAGATTTGCGCGATAGATTATCAATAAATTTTATGCGATTATTTTCGTGCGATATATTAGGCATTGTGGACGCAAAGGCACATCGCTATCGAAATAGTAATTATAAAACTATTGAATATATCTTGAGTTTATATATATAAGAGATGACAGACAAATAAGATAATGTTAAACGTGACCAATAATGATAATAAACAATAATAATAGAATGAATTTGATTAATGGATGAGTTTACGAGTTAAATTGATAATTGTTTTTTATTTAAGGACATTGCATTGGAACTTATGAATACAAAAAAGAAATGATAAAGAAAAGGGAGAAGACTCACTTATGAAGTAACTTGTTTGTTGTCCTATGTGTTGCCATATGTTGAGTTAATATTTCTTGACTTTGGAATCGCTTATCACAAACTTGACAGGTCAGTGACTGTAACATTCTATAACCAAATGTAATATAATAGACAAAAATCATAAATTTACAATTTACACGGAACTGGTCGAAAAATTATAAGGACATTTTCACGTTTCACTAAGCTGGATGAAGTTTAGGAATATCTTACCTTGGAGGTCTGCCTCTCCGTACGATGGGTGGTAGTGGAGAGGTATCCTGAGTGAGATCAACCGTAGGTGGCCTGGGTGGTCTCTCCACTTCGCTCATTGACTTGCTCTGTTTATTCTGGGGTATGGCAAACTGTCCCTGCTGTTCCTGCTGCTTTCTTTGCGCACTCGCTGCTGGTATAATGGATATCGCCGAGTTAAGATTTAACGTGGAGACGTTGAGCTGCTGCTTTTGTTGCTGCTGACTTTGCTGCTGCTGTTGCTGCTGCTGTTGCTGCTGTTGTTGCTGCTGTTGCTGTTGCAGTTGATTGGCTTGGTCCATGGCCTTCTTGTTAGCTGCAGGGGTGACAGTAATGCCACGAGCTGCCAGAACATTTGCTACTGCCGAAGGGTCTGGTTTCTTTCCACCCTGTACCATTGCGTTGACTTGCGCTGGATTATGACCTTTATCGATTAGTAAACAAAGAAAAACATTTTTCGCAACTGTGCACTTCTCCATTGAGATAACTACTGATATGGAAACATCAAAATAAGGAGAATAACCAAATGTGCACATACATTATTAAAAAGAAAAAAAAAATTAAACGACAAAAAAGTAAGACAGAAGTAAAATAAAGATGAATATTGATGAGAGAAAAAAAAATGAACAGATGCTTCGAATAATTTGCATAGCTTGTAATTATACGATATATTTTATAAAATTAGAAAATTGTATAAATTTAAATATACGCTAGCAATGATAAGCTTAATCATAATTACTTGCTTGAAGTTTACATCTATAAAATGTATTATAAAATATATTTTATTTTATCAGCAACATCTTTTTAATAGAATATTGTTCAATATAATATTTTGATATCGAATTTATTAAAAACAATGGAACATAAAAGTGAGTTGCTTTTCAAAACCCATGCACACATCTACAGTTATTTTAAAATGAAAACTTTAATCGTATATTTTATTTAAAAAAAAAAAAAAAAAAAAAAAAAAAAAAAAAAAGCCTAAAATATAGGATCTTAAAATATAGATTTAGGGGGACTCTAGATAGTGGAGAATACTATAATACAAATAATGGTTTTATAACTAAAAGTAAACATTGAATATATATATATATATATATATATATATATATGGGTGCAAAAATTTAATTTAATTTATTTATCGTGAAAATAAGATTAATAAAATGACTCATTACTGTTGCAAAAATAAAAATTTATAATATACATACCAGGCTGTCTAACGCTAAGCGTAATAGAATCTGTCAAATGAATGGTCGAATCAGATCTATTACTCTGCTGTACAGTAGCACCACCTTGGACATTTTGTATGACGGGTAAACCATCGTTTCTCTTTTGTTGAGCTATAACATGACAATCAGCATCTTCGTTACGATCCGGCATCAATACATCCATGCGTCTCTGCTTAGGTGTATTAGGATTCTGTTGTTGCATCTGCCCTGATTGTGGTTGCATTGGTCTTTTCATTCGAGCTCTAGGTACGGCGGCTGGTACCGGCGGTTGAGGCATTCTTGGAGCTCTGTAAATAAATTTGCATAATAGAATTGAGATAACGTAAACATAAATGGCTATACGAGATTACACAAATATTTGTAATTTTGAAAATTATTTGTTGAATCTATCTTTAATGAAATAAAAACTTAGATAAGAAATAATTTCATTGTTAGAGAATGAAATATATTAAAAGCTTTTTTTAATTTTAACTTGCACTATTTTATCATAAAAATACATGTATATTTTATTGCATTTTTTAAATATATTTTCTATCTAAACATAAATAAAATTGTGAAAGTTTTTATTTTCAAATTTTTAGATATATAGATATAGAAAAGATGAAAATACTTTCACCGCTATTTCTTTGTAATCGAACGATTGTTTTGATTGAATGTTACTTATCGATCGACATTTCGCTACTTTTGTCACATTACATGATTTTTGACAAACAACGAGCCTTTTTAGGTTAAAATACATACAAACATACATGTTTGCTTTAAATTTTATAAATGTTGAATACATTAAAATTATAAGAATAGCTATAAATATGATAAATCAATGGAATGACTTAAATGAAAATGATCATTATAAATCGAATTCGTATTAAAAAAATGTATACAGAAGTTTGTGTTAAATTTTATGTTTCATAACGTAAATTTAAGATAAAGCCTTATTTATATTTCACTGCAAATTCTCTTTATCTCAAATGTTTTTATAGCTTATTCGTTAGTTTTCACTCACTAAATAGACGCAACAAAAGTTATGTTATCTATTATAATGTAAAAGAGTTATTATCAAATGAAAATACATGTCGAAACCTGCAAGCGGCGTCATGTATGGAACTAGTAAGTATCCCGCGCGTCTAACAACATCCTTTTCTATTCGTGTAAAATTCATTGGATCAATGAGTCTAGGAATTCGTATACGACCAAAGTCCGCTATTTTTCTTAGTAATTTTTTTTTTTTTTTTTTTTTTTGTTTATCAGGAATGAGGTGTAGGATGAACTTTTTTGTATATAGAATTATGTATATTTTTTTGTATTCAATTTATAATTACTATACATTTAAATAATGTACGATCTTTTATTTGCCAAATTAATAATATTCGCGCGAATTTTCAATACATATTCATATATTCATATATTCATATATATATATATATATATATATATATATATATATAGTAAAATACATAGTGTGTGTAGTGTTTAAAGTATATATTATTAATAGGGTGTATAAATATACTTCGCAGATATTTGCAAAAATTGCTATCAATTTATATTGTTTATTTATTTTTTTATAAGTATATAATTTATACTTGATTATTTACATAGGACTACTTTTGCTTATTTATTTATAATTTTCAAATAAATATTTTCTTCGTTATTAATGACTTTATTAATGACAGCATAAACAATTTAATAAAAACTATATTTACATTATATATAAAAAGCAGCCAAAATAATGTAAGAATAACAATAACAATAGCAGTAAAAATAATACCAAGAACAAAATAGTTCGGGTATTATTTTTATCTAAATAAAAATTTTTGATTCGTACTCGTAGTAAAATTCTAAAGATAAATATAATATGTATCGATGAATTTGTTACAATAATTTAGTAGTTACGTTTTAATGCTGCTGCTGCTGCTGTTGTTGTTGTTATTTTTTTTTTTTTTTTTTTTTTTTTTTTTTTTTTTTACTTTTATTCAATCTATTATCTTTAATAATTAATTATATAATTATGAATTTAATTGCATTATTTTCAATTCTGTATTGTACTTTGTAATTTATATGAAATATAAATGTCCATTTGGAATATACATATACATAATACACACAGTTATTACTCTACACTGTTGTAAAGTTTGTAGCCAAAAGTTGTTTACGCGAGCTCAATTTCTATAAATTGAATCTAGTATATTTATAAACCAGTCCTACACATCCGTGTAAATTTAAATGGTGATTTAAATTTTTATGGTGATTTAAGGATACAAATGTAATAATATCGAAAAATTATGCTTTCAACAAATAAATTAATAATTATCATTTTTATCGAGATATAGTGAAAATATTTGTGAATGTAAACACGTCGGATAATGAGAGAAAAAAAAAAGAAGAAGAAGAAGAAGAAGAAGAAAAAAAAAATTAATCATAAACTAACGGTCAGTGCAGTATCGGAATAGAAATTCTATAAATTATCTTTAAAACTATTCGCTAAACACATAGTAATTACATACGATATTACGATCGAGTAAATCTTCTTTTTTTATTCTTTCCTCATTCCGATCGGATTTTATAGCCAACCCGTCAATCAACGTAAGGGGGGAGAAAGAAAAAAAAAAAATTTACTGTAAGAATTAAAATAACCTTTGACCCGGAATCACGGCTGGATACCTTCCTCTCGGTACCTGTTGAGGTATCTGTGACTGAACCTGTGGCTGCATGCCCAGTTGTTGGTAGGGATTTCCTCCGTACTGTTGGTACAAGTGAGCAATGTGCGGCGGATAGTGTATAGGTGCCTGTACCCTGTACATTGGCGGCCGGCCCGGTGGTTGGGGATAATAGTTGGCCCCGGGTATCATAGTATTAGCCCCCGGGGGCATGCCCGCGGATATCTGTGGCTGAGGGAGAGGCATTCGCTGCACCTGCTGAGCCAGCTGCTGGACCGGCGCCGGAAGTTGCTCCAGATTCACCGGTGGATAAACCGTGGGCGGCTGTCCGCTGTAAGTAGGGGAGCTGGTGGTGTGGGGCGAGGTCATGGGTGAGTTTCTAGGGGGATGAGTCGCCTGCAAACTCGGCGAGTGAGGTGAATGGGTATTGAGGTGCGGCGATGTTTGGTTCAGGTGCGGGGAATGGCCGTGAGGAGAGTTTTGGGATAAGTGATGGGGTGACATGCTGCTGAGACTCGTTGGTACCGGCGCTCCATGAGTCTGAGCTTTGTGCACCGACACCTCCATTGGCGTGGTGAATACTAGCGAGCTGCAGTCCGGGATATTGCATTGGTAATGTCCGACCTTGGACCTGTGCGCGTCCAAGTGGGCAATGTCCTTGAATTTTTCGTTGCATACGCGACACGTGTTGACGGTCTCGGCTAGCCTCTCCAGAGAGACGTACTCTGTCTCCAAAGGTTGGCCACTGTTTGCCAAGTTGTTCTCGTTTTGGTTGCGTTGCTGCTCGATAAGAAAGTTTTGCAGGAGGGAACCCGCGCTCTCTGCGTTGTCCGGGCTATCTTTATCCGTCGACTCATGACTGCTTCTTCTACTTTTATTGCGCTCGGAGTCATCGGTGATTTTACTCCAGTTGAAGCTTGTGCTGGAGCCGGAGGCCCCGCTTACCGGTAAAATTTCCGTCTCCGATCCTGATTCGACGATTGTCGGCTCAGGCATCAGAGCTGACTTTGGAACTATGCTTATTTCGCTGTTGCCTTTCAGTTCTTCAATCATATTTACAGCGTGATCTTCCTCATCGTTCTCCTCCTCCTCTTCTTCCGCAGGAGCTTCATTAGGATTTAGGAGATCGGAACTAATGTACCTAATGGTGTAAACGATCACGTTTAGATGAAGCAAATGGAAAGAAAGTGGCAAAATAAAACTTAATTAATGCATAGGGAACAGAAAAGTAATATCTTTTTAATTTTACACAACAATTCAAATAAATTAATTCGCAAATAATTAATCAAATATGTATATTAAAAACAAAATGTAGAAAGTTAAACTTTCGAGATAAAATGAGATGCTGAAAATTAAATTCTTATAAAACTATATATGCGTGATGCATTATAAAGTGATGTTAACATTATAAATAATATTTACGATTTCCATTTATAATGTCCAGGTATTCGATACGGGTTGTAGTGTTTTGCTTGTTTTTTTTTGTGTTTGTTCTATTTTATTTTATTTTATTTTTTAATGGTAAAAATGAATTTCAAAAGTAATATAAAATTAAATTATGTAAAGTAAACAATGTAAAGTATAATAAAAGAATAATTTGTGGTATAAGCTTATTAAATTAAAATTAAATCGAATTTAGGTTAATATTATTGCTATACGTGACATTTCTAAACGATAAAAAATATTTTACTGTGTGTAGAAATACTTTGTGTTTGTATAATGCGAAGGTATGTCTGTTCCCCATATGAATTTTTGAATAAAATCAAAATGAAATTCACCTTGATTGTTCGCCTAGTTTCTTAAGATTTTCTATAGTTTCTCTGCACGTTGCTTCTAAAGCATCCGACTCTTCGGGATCATCGTTATCGGCTGTTTCAGCATTATCCGAATTACTAATATTATCTGCTTGTAAATCGTCAACGTTTTGATCTTCTCGTTCTAATGGATTTATGGAATCGCTTCCAACTCCCGAGTCGCCTTCGTTATTATCCATTAAAGATCTTTCAGAATTTTCCAATGGATTGTGATCAGGTTCGGATTCAAAATTTTCATCCTCATAATTATTCTAAAATAATTAATTAAAAATATTCTTTTAATCGATGATTTTGGTAATTTATTACGGATAATTATTGTCTTAATACACAAACATAAAGAGCAGCAAAATTAGTAAAATTCTGCTTTTCGTCGCTTAATTAATGAAGGTAATTTCTAATTTTAGGCTCTACTAGTCTTGTAAACGAAATACAATTTTAAAAACTACCTCCTGATTTACCATCACGTTTTCAAAAGATTGTTCGGCGGTCTTTTCCTCCTCCGAGTCACTTTTGCTGTCATTCTCCTGTGCTTCAGCCAGCTCGTCGTACTGTTTAAAGGTTTCCTTATCCAAATTGAAGTTACTACTTACAACAGTAAAACCCTCCGAGACTGGTGATTTTTTTAATTTCAATTTTAGAGAGTCGCACACTGGACTCTGTCTTTTTAGCGTAATCTTCAGATTGCCTTTTTGCTCCGTCTCTAGCCAATATTGATCACTCGTCTCCTTTCTAGCCGTTTTTAAGTTTGCAATTCTCTTCAATACAACACGAGGCTTACCCAAATGAATGAGTACATGAGTTTGAAGATCCTTTTTAGATTGAAACTTTTGTTCACAAATTTCACAGCGCTCTGGCTCACCAAACGAACTGGGTGAATTACTACCTAAAACATCAAATAACACATACATATTTTCAACAAGTTGACTGGCAACAATGTATACTACATTCAAACTACGCTATTATATGAGTTTAAACAAAAACAAAAAGACTTAAATCCAAAAGGATTCTTTAATAATTTGGCATTTTATGTTAATTGACATACAGCTTATTAGAAAAAATATCTAAATTACATTTAAAATTAAGTCCATAAGGAAAACTTGTTAATTATTATTGATATTAAATTTCAAATTGTCTATTAAATTTATTTTCAATTTTTTAATTAGTTTAGTTACAATTCTTCATAAGCATCGATAAATCAAGATTATTATAAATTTTTAATATAACTTTAATTAAATTGATAAGCATTCAGAACTTATTGAAGAATTAAATTATAATGCAATAATTTTATTTCACAACATTGATAAAAATTCAATCAAATATCTAATAATACGTGGTTCATTAATTATACAATGTATAAATACGCGCATTGGAGGAAGAAAAGCCATTTAATAAGGATTCTGGACGTTTAAGTGCAAATTTTGGCTTTCGCATTTTATTGCAACGTAACGTTAATTCGGCGGTTTATTCAAAAACCTATGAACGATTAAAGAACTCGAGTGGCCGACCCAACAACAACAACAACAACAACAACAGCAACAGCAACTAGCATTTAAATAAAGCTACGGGATACGGTAAAACGAAAAACGGAAAAAGAAAAAGTCCACTAATAAAAAACAGAATAAGAGAGGAGGAAAACCTCAGCGCAACGATGAATCATCATCGCGAGCGAACGCGGTAGCGAGGCAAAAAGATGAATTCTTCACCCTTATTACGCTCCAACAAGATCGCATATTTATTTCCGGTATGACAATCTCACCCGCGGGATGAGAGACGATGCGCACTGCCACTTAAATCTCCCATTCCTTTTGAGGTTATTCGACGCACCCCTTTACGCACGTCCGCGCGCACGCACACACGACTGCCAGCCGATGTAATAGCGTATACGCGTAGGTAGGCGCTCGAGTGCAGCACGCGCCACTATTTACATGCATGCAAACAAAGAGATGGGGCTGCAGGGATCGGAAAAACCGACGCAGCAGCAGCAGCAGCAGCAGCGACAGCGACAGCGACAGCGACAGCGATAGTGGCAGCAGCAACAGCAGTAACAACAGCAGCAGTACAGTGTGCCCGGACCTATAAGATGGATGAGCCACCGAAACAACGAAGTGCGATCTCGAGGTACGTCGAAGCAAACTCTCCTCTCGTCTTATCAACACTATTTATCAGGATGTAGAATGAGTGAACAGTACTACTGTTACAGCGACTATGACTATGACTATGACTATGACTATGACTATGACTATGATTATGACTATGACTATGACTGTGACTGTGACTGTGACTGTGACTTGTGACTTGTGACTGTGCCGACGGTAGTGGTGGTGGCGGTGGTGGTGGCAGCGGTATCGGTGGCGGTGGCGGTGGCGGTGGCAGCAACGGAGGGCATCCAAGATATTGGCGAATATCACGACGAAGGCGCGGAACGCGACTGAGCCCTGCCTCTCTGCCCGCCTCGCCTCGCCTCCCTCCTCATTCCCCTCTCTCCCTCCCAACCTCCCTTCCTCACTCGCTCACTTACTCTCTCTCTTTCTATCTCTCTATCTCTCTCTCTCTCTCTCTCTCTCTCTCTCTCTCTCTCTCTCTCTCTCTCTCTCTCTCACTATCTCGCTCCCGCCAAATGCTTTAACAAACGTGTGCGCGTGAAATATGACTGCTCTCTTTGTCTCGCTCGCTCGTCTTCTCTGGAGTCCACGGGCGCGCTCGTGCACGCGTGCACAGGAACACGCGCGGCCTTACGTACACGGGCAGACGTGCGCGCGAAAAAGTGCCTACAGACTACCATAGAAAACCGCCGCCGCCACCGCCGCCACCGCCACCGCCACCGCCGCTCCCGCCGGTGCGAGGAGCTGCACACAACAGCTAACCCAACTGTCGGCCAATCGATACGCCGAAGTTGGCTAAAGGAGCCTTGCCATTGGCTGTCGGGGTGCGCGGCACCTCGACTTCCCAACTTGCTGCAATGCAATAACCGAGCCGTGAAAAGCGACTTCCGATTTTCATCCGCGATAACCTTAGGTTTTATTGACATCGCCGGAGCGCGCTGTTGCGAGAGCGATTAAACCTCTTTTTTCCATTGAGCGCGACTCTTTCCTCTCTCGTTCACCCACTCGTTCTTGTAACACTCTCTCTCTCTCTCTCTCTCTCTCTCTCTCTCTCTCTCTCGGTGTAGCGCCGCAATAACGTATCGTCCGGCAAAATTTGCTCGCTCCTTGGACTTTCGCCACGCACGGTGCAAATATATAAGTAATATACATGACCATCTAATAATAATAATAACAATAATTAGATAAAGTAAAACAATAAGAAATAAAAAGTTAGCGCAGTTAATAAATAAGACGGGGGGATTTCGCGTTTCCGCCAAGTTTTCCTACTACACGGGCCATACTTTGTTAAAGCACAAGGGAGATTCGGCTATTTCCGCTTGTTATACCATACCGATATGGGAGATTACGGATTACCCCACGCACTTGCCACCTCTCGTGGATTCGCGTACTTTTCGATACGCGATCATCCATCATCCGCGAGATCGACCGCGATGGTGTTAGAGTATCCGCACCACGGGGGATCGCTTACCGGCAACCGGCTACACTCGATCGTCTCTGGCTAGTAGCGAAGAAGATGAGGGTTGGGGCGAGGTTCGAAGGTCGAAGGTCGACTAATTTTTCGGCAATGTCCAGCCAGGTCTCCGATGTTGCTCGGGTCACGGAGGCTTATCGGCCCTCACGACGATGAATGTCCGATAAACGACGCGGAATGTCCGATGGAAATCAGTAGCTTTTCGATACGTAAAACCTCGTTATGCCCGCGGAACGCTTCAGACTTTTCGGATTATTCGAATTATTCGAATTATTCGGAAAATGCCGTGGACATCGTCTCGGGCCTACGTTATAATAATGAACTTCTAACGTTGCCTTGGCGCGCTTTCGATGCATTATTATGGGCATCAGCGGCATCAGCATCAGCGGTGGATTGTCACGTGCTAAGTTACTTTGCGCTGAGTTTACGTGACTGCACGGCGATGACATTGGTACGGTAATCTACATAATTAGTTAAGGCACCTTGGTAAAGTAAAGCGTATGCTTGATTATGTTGATAAATTGCGGATAAGCAGATGTAAGGGCTGTATGATAAACTATAAAGTTCCCTAGTATTGTTACGTGGAAGTCTTGTTGGGAAATGTTTTCTGAAATAATAATCAGATTTACGACTGGATATTATATTTGACTTGGACGCCCGTACTTTCTGCGCGTCGAAAGGTAGGATAAAATTTTTGAAAGGGGTTTTAATATAACGTTTCGCGGTTTTCTTAATTTAATATTTTAATAAGAATTAAGGTAGGAGTATTGAGCAACTTGATAAAGTCGTATGCACGTCACGACACACTCATGCCGTACGTATTTCAATTTTCATTATCGCATAAATGTAAAGTTGCATTACTACTGGCCGAACCAATCGATTCTATACATTAAAAACTAATTGTTCATTACCGTAGTACCTCGTGTGTACACAAGGTGTTCCGAAATCAATGCAATTTATGTTACACGGGCTTACGAGAAAACATATTTAAATAAAAGTGCCATAACGCTGACTATATATTTTTGGCGTCAAAAAATAAGTTTTTCTCTTTTTTTTAATTTTTATTTAATTGGAGGAGTCGTTTAAAGAATTCGAGACATATTCGATAAGAATCAAATGTTATTCAAATTGGTAATTAAATAATGTACTTAATGACAGTATCTGAATGTCATTCGTCAGCTTGTATTACGTAAAAACAATTTAATTTTAAACACTACACTACATTAGACACACACACACGCGCAAATACAACACAGAGAAAGTGTGTGTATATATATATATATATATATATATATATATATATATATATATGTATGTATTCCTATAATAATAATAATAATAATAATAATAATAATAATAATAATAATAATAATAAGCAGACGATAGAAGAAGAAAAAAATGGATAAAATAGATAAAACATCAATAGATAAAAAAAATTTTTAATTTAAAATACATCCTTTTTTAATTGAATCTTATATAACTGGCATTAAATATTTCGGATATGAACATATTTTCATATCATTTTTAATTCTTACTTAACTTGCTAGATAAAATATATTTGACACATAACAAGTGTTAAATTATAATTTACAGTTTTAATTGAATTTTTCGTCTCCTTAAAAACTGCTGGCCTATCATTTCTTTAGTTTACTTATTAATAATTTTACTGGGTAGTAATATCAAGCTTATGGATTTATATTAACTTATTAAAATTCGATATCTTCAAGATCGATCTACGACGACTCGATTCACTTTTAAGTACCAGAAAGTATCTTTGAAAGCATTATAAAGAAAAAAAGAAAAAAAGAAAAAAACAACAAGAAAAAAAACAAAAAACACCTTATATTATAATAGTGCCACGATTCTTTTGATCTTCTAAACCTCTTATTATTACTTGCAAGATTTTGATTAAAATTTCTGAACTATAAATTATATTTTATGCTCGAGGCTAAGAAAAGTATTTTATTTCGTAACGATTATATAAATAAAGCTCATTTTGGAACTTTGGCGCGGCATAAGTTAGTTAATGCCCAGAGAACTCCTTAGCGCCATACAATAGAACCCAAAGTCGTAATATTACAATTTTCATGTTAAATAGAAATATTCGATAACCGAATTGCACCTTTAAATTTTTCCTAATCTAAGTTCATTTATATTTGCAAATATAGCGTGTAACTAAAAGCTGTTTTACGCCTTGAGAACTTTTTAATAATGTATTGTGCTTTTAGGCAATATTCAATATTTTTAAACGAATGCGAAATTTACGTCAAAAACTTTGTTTGTTAAATTACTTATTTGTTGCGGTAC